CTTCATGATTAGGTTTTCTGTCTAGTCCCAGTGCGTCCTGTGCAGTGTAATGGTTCGTATCTGGTTGTCTCACCTTTTTCTCTTTAGTCTGAGACAGTTTCTGGTTTTTTGTCATGACTTTGAAAGATTTCATGATATCTATGACCTTGGTCTATGACCCTGCTGAAGGAATTGTTCCTATGTGTCTTGTTCTTCTCAGGCCCTGATGGCTCATGACTGGTTATCTCTTCACAGGGACACTTACCTCCCACCCCCTTTTTGAGCTCCAATGGTGTGAGCCCCTCTCCACATCCAGCACAATATTTCAAAGCATGGTGTCTGAATTTTTGAGAAATGAGAAGGAATCAGATATTAGATATTATTAACATTATTTTCCCATTCTGAAATCTATGATAGGTAAGTTAATATTGTTAAATATTTGCAAGTTCGTGTTCAGAAAATAGCCTGGGATACATTGATATTGTTGGCACAGATAACCATGCTTAAATAATTACTAAGGCCAAGTAAAGGTGAGGCATAAATAGCTTTGAGTAGGGGCAGTAGATGTGGCACATATATGAATATGGTTGGAAGTGCAAGATCTGAGCATGAGCAGAGAAGTCAGGATATGGTTAGTTACAGTAGCTAATAAAGGGAGAGCAGATAATAGTGGATGGTGGCCAGAAAACAAGTAAATATCAATCAGTGTTTTCCAGGCCAGGAAACAATGTGCTAACTAATAAAGATCTTAATATGTGTCAAAGAGATTAGTGATTATTCAGGAATTGAGTCATGTGGTCTGTTAATGTGTTGATTACACAGTATCACCCAGTTTCATAGATGCTTGCCTTGTTTTACTTGCCTGTTAAGGAGCAGACACTAGGCTCCAGCTTTTGGTTGAACTTAAATACCTTTATCACTAATCAGAACTATTTTTGATATATTTTAAATACAGAAGGTATTAGAATTTTAATAAAAATTGGTATGCTTTTTAGATAAGAGATAATGATAAATAATCCATGGAAATATAAAAGTGAAATATATACATACTTATATAATTAACTTAAGGATATAAATTCATAGTAGCTAAATACTGTCATTAAGTCTATATTTTTGTTAAAGATTTTTGTCATACTCAGAAATGTTTAACATCACCCTTGTCTGCATCCTCTCTGTTCCTCTCTGGGTGTAGTTTATGCAAATTCTCCTAACAACAGAGTCCTTACTCTGGGGAACTGGTTAAGTTCATTCTCAAGGGCCCAGAACATCAATGTCCTCTATGCAAGAAATTGTGTACATGTGCCTGCACTCAGCTTCTTCCCATAGTACTCATGCTGCCTATGTAGATCAGGTGCCCCATACCCATACATGATCTGAGATCTTTAAACAAGCCTGTTAGTCACCCTCTGATGCCAGTGGAGCCCTCCCAAGCCATTATCATTCCTGATACCATGAAGAATACAGAGATTTGTAGTAAGAGAATTTTGAGCTTCTGAAGAAAAAGACAAAGCTTTTGTATGTAGTAAAGGGAAACAATAAATTCTTACACAATCAAGTATATTTTCCCAATCATCCCAAGCAAGTGCACATACCCCGCTATGTCTATGTAATAGTAGTTAGTGATTCTGGGAGAGAGTTTATTAGGTTGGTATTTGCATGTGAAGGAATATTTTTGTAATATTGACCTATATTTACTTCTGTCTAGATGTAGAGTGCTTTAAGTACAATAATATTCTCTTGTATTATCGTCCATTTGGATTTTGGTAAAGTTCTAGTTCTGACCGGGCTACACAGCCAGACACTGTTTAAGAAAAAATAAAAGAAATAAAGAGAAGACAAACTTTACTAGAACTTGAACATGCACACACCACACACACACAAACACAAAAATGAAAGGTAGAAGGCTGTCATATCAGATAAAACATAAATTCCACAATATGATACATAACACAAAGCACTTCAAATATAAACTCACTGGGGCATTTACAAGAAAAACACACAAAAAAGAGCTATGCAAACATTAATCAAAATGAAGCATAAATAAATGCCAGGAAAAAGGTGATTACAGAATAAGAATGAAAGAATGAAAAACATTTTAATTTAGTCAGCTCGTCAATATTACATAATAGCCCAAAACATGTTAAACATAATGCAGTTTTAAACACATTATGTAATTGAAATGGGAGATAATAAATAAAAAATCACAGCTGTAGATATCAAGATATCTGTGGGGGAAGGCTTTCTCTCTTTCTCTTCCTCTCTCTCTCTCTCTTCCTCTCTCTCTCTCCCTCTCTCTCTCTCTCTCTCTCTCTCACACACACACACACACACACACACACGCAGGCACTCTCTCTAAGACTTCTTTCTTGACAGAACATGACATCAGGAAAATGTGGAAATTTTCAACACTTTCAATCATAGGAATCTATCTGACATTCATAGAACAGTGCCACTCACAAAAAGTAGAATTATCTCAAGTTCACCAGGAACACCACCAAGGTAGACACATAAAACCAATAAACTTAAACTTTATTCTTCAATCACAACATTCAAATTAGAAATCAGTAGCACAAAACTATCTGGAAAATTCCCAAATGTTTAAAAGTCAACATAACTTTAGATCATTATTGTAAATTGAAAGAAATTTGTGTGAAAGGAATTCTTTAGCACTGTTAGTGGGATATAAATTAGTATGGTAATAGAAAACAGTAGGGGATTCCTCAAGACATTGAAAGTAGAACTGCCATGTGATTCAGTAATCTCACCACAGGGTATAGATTTAGGGAAAATAAAATCAGTCTGTTGAAGGGATATCTTCATTCCCATATTTAGTGTGAAATTACAATAGCAAGTGTCCCTACCAACAGATGAGCGAATAAGGAAAATGTACATACACAGTGAAATGGTTTGGCTTTGTACAAACAGAAGGAGGTGCTAAAGAAATGGTCCAGCAGTTAAGAACCCACGCTTCAAGATCAGCTTCCAGCACACATTTCCGGCAGCTCACAACTGCCTGTAACTCTAATTCCAGGTGGCTATAAACAGTAATAGATATTGCTAAAAACTTGAATAAGAGGGTTTAGAATGTCTTTGCCATAAAGAACAGTAAATGAGAAGATAGATTTGTTTATCCTGATTTGATACATGTATTAAAATATCATGTGACATTCAACATACATTGTTTTTATTGCACATATAGATGATATAGATATAGATATAGATGGTATAGATATAGATATAGATGATATAGATATAGATATAGATATAGATATGTTAGTTGCTTTCCTCGTGGTGATAGTAATAGATGCAATTTAGCTAGAAAAGGGCTTATGCTTGCTCACAGTTCAGAGGACCCCATTGGCAAGCAGTAGGGGAGGCAAGGTGGCCCAAAGCTTGCAGCACAGCTCCATCATATCCTGGCAGCTTAAAAATAGAGAAGGGGCTGGAAGTGGAGCCAGGTTGTAACCCCCAAGGCCTGCTCATGGTATCCTGTGTACATCAGACAGATCCCAAGCCTCAGATTCCATATTCCCTCAAAATAGTACCACCAGTTGGGGAGCAAATGTCCAAACATAAAGGAGACAGGTCACATTCAAGCCACAAAAATAGGTTAAAACAAGTTAATTTAGAATGAATGATAAGCTACTGAAAGTTAAATTTTATTTATTAGAACAAATAAATTAATACAAAGTAATTATGTGAAAGCCTTGCTTGTAAATCAAAGCTCATTACACGTAATATTCTTTCCCCAAAGCTCCACATTAAAGATTTAACAGTATATGATGCTTCAGAGAGAAATAATCATCAGCAAACACAAGCTGTATTACAGGGTGTTGGTGGAAGTTTCTGTCCCTCCAGGTTCTGCCACCTTTTGGCCCCAAATAAACATATGGACACTATATTAATTATAAAACTGTTGGCCGATGGTGAGGGCTTCTTACTGGCTAGCTCTGTCTTAATTATTAACCCATAACTACTAATCTATGTATTTCTACATGGCCTTATCTTACCTGAGAACGCCTGACACATCCTATCTCCCTGGTGTCTACACGGTGTCTCCTCCTGGTGGCCTCTCTCTCCTTCCTCTCAACCCAGCATTCTCCTTGTCTGGTAGCCCTGCCTACATTTCCTGCCTGGCTATTAGCCAATCTGTATTTTATTAATCAAGCAATAGGAGAAACATACATACAGAAGGACATTCCCCATGACAGGGGTCCGGAGTTCTCGAGCCTCTTTCTTCCTCTGTAGTCTGGTTTCCTTAACTACACTTACTACAACTGTGTGGTAGTAAGAAGGTAGCCTGGAGACTTACTCCAGAGGATTTTAGCAATGTAGAACTGGATACTTGTAATTCAAGAGGCATTACTGTTGTAAAGATGTTCTTGTTGGTTTACCATAGTCCCAGGTAGCCTAGGGAAAATGGACCAGCCAACTGCCTCCAACTCTTCTCACAAATCATTTTATCGCTTACTGGTTTCATATGTTCATAGAGGAACCAACACATCTGTAGCCATCATATCGAACTTGTAAGCTACTTACACTCTGCATTATTATGAGACTATAACCACATTATTTTGATAATCTTTACTTTTATTTTATAAGCTAAAATATTAGATGTTAAATGGATTGGATGAGATATAAAACAGTCCAAGATTGTTGATACATATTTTCAGATTAATTTGCCCAAATACCTGTGCACATTAACAGTTCTACTTGAAGTTTCAAAGTTATCAGCCTGTAGATTTTAATGTTTACCTCCGAGTGTTGTCTGAGTATTGCTAAGGCTTTGATAACTAATACTCCATGAAATAACCCTGCATTAAATAAAAAAGCTTACTCTCAGTAAAAGAACATTACTAAGCCTGACTAAACATTCAGAAAGTGCATTGTGTTGAGTGAAACCTTGTGTGTAATAAATAATGAGGGTAGTAGGAGATCAGATTGGACAACTGTAATTGTCTCAAGAAAAGTCTACAGTGAAACTAGCTCTTCCATTACTTCCTCAAAGAGCCAAGACAATGGGGAAAGTAAAGGAAATGTTTTATAAAAACCTTGAAGTGGGAACCAGAAAACCTAAGACATAAACTTGGGGAAATGCGACACAAGAAAACATGCAACAGAAAGAATGCCCTCACTCATAATCTGAGGTACATGAAAGCTAAACATTTCCTAGAACTGGAGTTTTACAAGGTAAGCACAGACATCAGTGTTTTTGTCCTGCACCATGATTCACAAACAGCTCCCTGAAATGGTGTTGCTGCTGTTGGCTTCTTCCACCGTCTTCTCCCTTGAACCGACATTTATTCTCTTCCAATCAAGGATGAAGAGAGAAAGCTTGTACCTACTGAATGCTTTGCCAATCCCATCGGTTCAGCAGTGTCTGGCTCACAGGAAAAATTTCCTGCTTCCTCGGCAGTCTGTGAGTCGCCACCAGTACCACAAAGGACATGCACTGGCTGTTCTGCATGAGGTCCTTCAGCAGATCTTCAGCCTCTTCCAGGCACATGTCTCTCTGGACATTTGGGAGGAAAACCATATAGAGAGAGTCCTAGCTGCACTTCACCAACAGCTGGAATACGTGGAGTCGCTGGCCGGACTGAAAGCAGAGCAGAAGAGTGGTGGTTCTAGTGTGCAGAGCCTTAGGATACAGATTAAAGCATACTTCCGGAGGATCCACGACTACTTGGAAGACCAGAGGTACAGCAGCTGTGCCTGGATCATTGTCCAGGTAGAAATCAACCGGTGTATGTTCTTTGTGTTCAGGCTCACCAGATGGCTGAGCAAACAAGAAACAGACCCTTGAACACTGTGAAGCAAGAGCCAACGGTGCATTTTAAAAGCATAGGTTGGTGGCTGAGTGAGAGAAGATATGTGAACATTACTGTTTCCTTTTGGTGTAAAATTGCTGCATTGTTTTGCTTCTTTAGCTGTGAATTAAGACTGCATGAGTTGGTCACAGTTATTTTCATTGTGTCATGCCATGTTACGTTTTCTACCAATTTTAAATTATTTGAGAATTAAAATTAATTCATTGAAATTTTATAATTGGTTCTTCGAGTGTTGAAATTTTCATAGGATTTTGCAGTTAGATACAATGAGTTATGCCTTTAATGTGCTGAGTATTCTATAACATACAACATTCATTCTAATGAATTTCTTGTTTAGCAGAAAGGTTAAGACCCAATGAGTAAGAGTTGAAGCTAGCATCAAATACTGAATATTTCTGTTTCAAAAGACTAATGGAAATATGGCCAAAAGACACGAACAATTTGCATAGGAATGAAATAGATTTAATCTCATCCATAATTATAGTAATTCAGATTACAATTAAATGACATGGCATTCTAACCCAATAGGTAACACCTAAAGGTTTAATTAAGACAAATACACAGACTCACAGACTGCTGAGAAAGCAGGCGTGTTTTCCTGTGTGCTGGACACTGCTGGGTTAATTGGAAAATGCTCTTTCAATTTGTCAGATCAGCAGAAGTTCTTACACGTCATGTTCGCTTAAGGGACCATGATGCTGCTGAAGAGAATGAGGACACACTTCCCCTATAAAAATAATAAAGCAAAATAAATAAAAATAAAAAATAATAAAGTTAGGAAAATGTGTGTAAAAGTGTTATATTTGGGCAAAACCATGAAATGACTTTAATATTGTACTAACTATCTGTGAAGAACTCAAGCACACATGAACAATAAATTATAGTGATAAATGATTGCCCTATTGGGAAAAGGAAGGCAAATTTTGGGGTGCAGACTAGGAAAGGAGAGTTTTTACTCCTGTTTCTAAGTGGTAATTTTGAGTCATGTGCGTATTAAAAATGAAGTGAAATGTATCCAGCTAGTTAGAATGTTCAGAAGTAACAGTGAAAGAGCCTTGCTGCTTGCTGCTGAATGAAGGTGCTGGTTGAAGACCAGGGGAAACTGGACTGAAGCAGCCTGCTCTTGCCTGCCAGTGGCTGGGAGGTAACGGGCTGGAAGGAAGCTGTCCATGCCACAGGGCGGGCTTTCTGCTTCAGGAAGTGTCAAGATTGCATCTCTCCTATGCAAGCCTTTGAAGAAGTCCTCACAAAGCAATGTGGAGCAAGATGTCTGAAGTTCACTGAGACTTGGTGTCTACTACATTATTCAGATACAAATAGCAAGGCAAGGGATGCAAGCCCCATAGCTACTTGTACTTCACAAGTCGTCGCATAATTTGCCATGGAAGTTACTACCGAATATAGAAGCTTGCTGGAGAACCACACAAGCCCAAGCAACTGTTGGAAGATGTGTCTAGAATGGGGGAAGCTGAATGGGCGTCTGAATGTGAAGCAGTCTCCACCATAAAGGGATCTCTCCAGCAACTGAAAACTCAGGAGCTGCTGGCAGGGGAAAGTCCTTGATGACTTCACTGTGAGGCCCAGGACAGGCTCTGTTTACCTTTAAGTTCATGCAGAGGTAGTGGAGTCAGGGAAAAAGTATTTACCACCCTTGACTGAACACAGGTCGCTTTGCTTCTCATGATCTGGGAAAATTTTTGTTGCTGTTTTTCTTCTTTAAACCAGGAAGTTTTCAGAACCAAACCCGTCATCTAACAATCATTCAACTCTCCAGATAACTTTGCAAGGTCCTTTCTGCTGTTACCTAGTTTTCTCAGGTGGAAACAAGGCTTCAAAGATGAAGTAACACACTTAAAGTAGCACGGCACAACCCAGAGCTAGCAGAAACTCCATCCCCGGGTACCCCGACTTGTGTGTCAACGCCTGCACTGCTGCAGAATGTTGCAAAATGATCACTTCGAATAATATTCATCTCCTAGCTTGTGTTATGCCCTCTGAATCCTGAATTAAAGAAAAGACATCCTTTTCCTCCAAACTGAGAAATTGGATGCTCCGTGAAAGGTGAGAAGTGGAAACAACCATAGCTGCTATCACATCAGAGTGTAAAGTAAGCCAGGCTGTGGTGGAGCACACCTTTAATTTCAGCACTCGGGAGACTGAGAGACAGGTGAGGCCATCTTGGTCTATGGAGTGAGTTCCAGGTAGCCAGGGCTACACAGAGAAACAGTGTGAGGGGTGCTGGGGTTGGAGTAGATAAAACCATCTCTGCTTTTGAATAGCACTCAGTAAGAGAGAGGGAAATGGAAATGCAGGGTGGGGATTTTCCACCTCTTGGTAAAGTTTTGGAGGTGGGTGATGACTTTAGAATATAACCTTGGCCCTGGATATGAAAGACACGGTCTGAAATTCTATCTCTACTGAACAAAGGATGTCACCTGAGTTTCTCTAGGCAATTGCTCTGTTGGATTCCATTTGGGCCATGAGTGAGCTGGGTTGGTCAATCTAATGACTGAATTGCCATATGCTGTGATCCAACTAATGGGGAAGGAAAAAAATATGACTTCCACCAAGTACAAGGAAAAGTATGCAGCTGTGTCCAAAGGGAAAACGAGTGGGATTAGTGACCTTGGAGCAGTAGTTCTGATCTATATCATGTATATTCAAGCAACCATTTATTCCTGCTTCTCCCCGCCCCTCACGATGCCCCTGCATCACTCTTGTCATTACCATGACCAAATATGTAACAAGAAGCCATTTAAGGGAGGAAGGGGCTTCCTTGGCTCTCAGTTTAAGGGGCCACAGCCCAGCATAGTGGGCAACAAATGACAGCAGGAATGTGAGGCATCTGGCCATGGAGTCCACAGTCAAGAATCAGAGAGTGGGCAGAAGTGGAGTCAAGCTAGCGAACTTATTCTTCCAACCCCAGCGACTCAAACTGTCTAGCTTTCCCGAACAGCTCCACCAGCTGGGGTCCAAGTAGTCAACACCTGCACCTGTGGGAAAAGTGCACACACTCTGACCTACAGGGAGGCTCCCAAGTGTTTTCTAGGAATCCCTTCAAGTGAATCTCTACATCATACACAGTCTGCTCCACAATGGTGGTCATGGCCTTGTGCACCATTGTGTGCACATTGTATGTGGAGATAGGACCATGAGGACAAGAGCCGATATTCAGGGACATGAAAGAGAAACTGATTTCAGGGCCTACTGTTGGATGCTGAGATGGGTAGGGTACATCTGTGGATTTGCAGTATTTTCATGAGTCAGGCAGTGATCTTGCCCTCACCACGCTTCTCTTTCATTTCTGATGCTGCTCTCTGGGACACTCCCTTTCATGTGTGACAATCAATCGTTCTATGAGTTTTCCAAAACTATGGTTCCACCTAGGTCCTCACTCAAGCACACTTTGTGCCTCGCCCTCTTTTTCCTTTCCTTTTTGGGGGACACATTTTGAGGTTAACGTCTTTCTTTTTTTTTTAATTTTTTAAAATTTATTTTATATAACAAAGTCCATTTAAATGAAAACAAACATTTATAGACAATATTTGGGAATTTGGGCGTCGTTCTTTCCAAACTACTTCCTGCTGGTAAGGGGCGCTGTCATGGGGGATTCTAAGAAGATGCAGAAATCCTGGCTGTAGTCTGTAGGGCTGCTTTGTCCAGCTGTTTTGAATGTAGGATCACCTCGTACTCTGTTTCAGGTGGTCTGGCTTGATCAAACCACATTAGTCTGGCTTGAATCCACATCTTTTCATTTTCTGTGGAAACAAAAATAGAAATCCTTTTCCCCAGTAACTTGTCCTTAGACTTAAATTTTGGAGTCAAAGCATTTTTTTTAATTTAATTTATTATTTATCAATCCCAGTTCCCTCTCCCCTCCCTCCCTCCCTTTTACCAGGTTAACATCTTTCTATACTGAGTTCACTCTGCAATCCAGGCAAGGCTTTGAACTTGAGTTTTAGGACAGCTGAATTATAGCTTGTGGCACCAAGCCAATTAACTAATACACCCATCTGAATAAGGAATGTCTACAATATACACTATACAATATGAATTCATTAATTCATGTACCCTTTGTTCCTTTCATTAAACAATTTGTTATTTTAAAACAACTGTATTTGCATATGAATATTGAAAAGACAAAATGGAACTTATTAATGAGCATCAAGGACAGAAAGTCCCTTTCAAACTTAATTAAAATCTAATTATATCATTTTCCCCTTCTCCTTGCTCCTACCCCTCCCATTGAGGAGCTAGTTAAGGGGCTCATCCCTAGGGAAGACTAATTCTCCTTCTCTCAGCAGTTGTTAATTGCTTATAAGGCTTCCTTTAAGGATAAGACCCCATGAGATTTCCCCCATCTAGGTAACCCCCGGCAACTAGTATTGTCATCGTTCAGGTCTGGTTTAGGTAGCCATGTTGTTGAGATTTCCTGGTATAGCTTCCCTGTCTAGAAGGCACAACCTCATAGCAGACTTCTTGGTCCTCTGACTCTTAGAATCTTTCTGCCCAGTCTTCTGCAATGTTCCCTGAGGCTTTGGTGGGGGATTTACGTTATAGATTTATCAGCTGGGCTGGACACCCCATGGTTGATTCTTTGCATTTTGACAGATTGTGGCTTTCTGTGATGGTCTGCTGTAAAAATGGAACTCCTTTAATAGGGTTGGGGTGTGTATGAGAACTTCTTTGATGGGAGGGGGGATCTACTTTTGTCTGTCATTAATTATTAGAATGTAGTTAGGAATATACTAGTTTAAGGAAGGTAGTAGTCTCTCCTGAGTTAGCTCAGCTTTTAAAGGCTAGACTCACAACAAAAGAGACACGGAGAGAAAATCTTAAATCTTAGCATAAAGGTATCCATGAACTGTTTGTCACAGGACTCTAAGGAAGAGATCAACTTTGCCAGTTGGTGCTTAGCATTTCCTGTGTGGCTGGGATGAGCCTTTGCATCTCCATTTTACCCCAAGTCTCATATCCCCTTGGAGTAAAATGAACGTTTGTTTCCTGTAGTGAGATAGTCATTCTGTGGCACTGACCACGCCCATTGGGGGGGTGGAGCCATGGGCGGATGCGACCTGTGGAAGGAGGTCTGAGGAAGAGCCTGGAAAAGCTCTCTTGCTGGCAGGAGAGCATCTGGTGGAATTTCCTGGTGTTCATCT